AAAAAAAAAAAAAAAAAAAAATGTAATTGTCCCTTAGATTGGGTAAGAGATTCATTAAGATAATTCAGTCACCAGCAAGAAAGTTAACCTTTTTATATTTTCCAGACTAGTTTATACACTACAGAAGCACTTTTCATAATGCTGAAGAGTAGGCAGAATCCAATATTCAAAAGCAAGGAACAGGCTTAGCAAAGTCCGAGACACTGTATAAACTAACCAAAATCTACATTAATACGATGTCAAAACAACCAAACATTATAACTAGTCATTTCCTTAACAAGTAACTTATGTCAGTATGGATAAGTATCAAAAAGGCATATGGTAAGGTGGAAAAACAGGAAGAAAATGGACAAAAGAAACCTACAATTATAATGTGACTTCACTGAGTTACAACTAAACTCTATTTTTCCTAGTTATCTGTCTAATAGAAATACACTAGTGAAAAAGCTAAATATACATACATTACTGTCTAAAAAAGGAAATAAGCATATTTGTGTACCTTACTCATTGAGGAACTACAAGCAGTTATTCTGGAAAAAACAGCTACTGGTAGATACGTTAGATGCCATAATCATGTATTCCCACAATTTAACAATTTGGAAGATCATCTTCCATATCTACTATAGCATTAGTATTTTTAGGGCTGCCCCTTACCTTCACCTGTGAATTACAACTTATATCCATTACCTGCATTATACCAAGACAAGATAAATAACTCTAGTCCCTGAAAAACTAGTAACAACTTACAACCAAACTGCCAGCTTATTGTTCCTGCAGTATATGAGACACATTACTTCTGTCACTTAGATTTTCAAGTTCTGCCCAAATCCTATGAACCCAGGATCTCTAAAAGTACCCTGAATCCAAATTCTGAGTAAAATTTGTTCTGCTTTTCATGCTGTGCAATTGTACTCCCCGTCTTTTTTTTTTTTTTTTTTTTTGGTACCAGGGATCAAACTCTGGACCTTACCCTTGCAAGGCAGGCAGAGTCCCTTCCCGTCTTGTGCACCCTATTTCTTTCATTATCAAACTCCTTGAAAAAAATTATATTGGCTGATTTTTTTCCCTTCATTTCACACCTATACCTACTAAAACATGACTGTTTATGTGTACTTTATTTCTATAATTGACATCAAATGATACATATCCTTTTGCTATTTTTTCATTTAACATTTTTCAAGACTTATCCATGCTGATACATAAAGACCTAGTTCATTTATTGTAACAGCTATAAAAACCATTTATGGGCCGGGGGTTTAGCTCAGTGGTTCTGCCACCTGCTTTGCAAGCATAAGGTCCCGAGTTCAATCCCCGGTACCAAAACAAACAAAACCATTTATCCCTTCTCTATCAAGGACAGCTACTATCCTTTTTCCAGTAGAACAGTGCTGTAATGTATATCATTAATGTACATGTTTTTATACATACATATTGTTTCCCTACGGCAGACATTAATGAAATTGCTACAAGGAATGTTATCTTTTCAACTACTTATGGTATTTCCAATGAATTGGATTTTGATTTGTTACTCCTCTTCTCACTTTCTTCTATTCCATTGATTTCTGCTCTCATCTTTATTCTTTCCTCTTTCACTTCCTTTAGTTTAATCTGCTGTTATTTTCCTAACATCTTCAGTTGCCACTCGATTTTGTTCTTCATCCACAAGTTATCTAGAAGTTATTTTTGGGAGGGGGGGGAATATCAAATATGGATTAGAGGAAGAACTGTTTATATTTCAATTACTAATTTCTAATTTTATCATACTGGGATCACATGACCTGGTTTAATACAGTTGCTCCTCAATTTATGAGTTATATCCCAATAAACCCATTATGAGTTGAAAATATCCTAAATATGCACTTAACACACCTAACCTATCCAACATCATAGCTTAGCCACACAATACACTGTATATCGACTGTTTACCACTGTGATCACATGGCTAAGAGTGTGGCCCACATCCATTGCCCAGCACTGCGCAAGTACACACTGCCGGTGCCTTTCTCTGAGCACCCGCACTCCACTTTTGATTGCGCCCTATATCTATCTACCTCTAATAAATCCTTCTCATGTCTCTTGAAAAAAAAAAAAAGTACATACTTCCTATGACTAGCCCAGGAAAAGATCAAAATAAACATCCCAAGTATGATTTCTAATGTGCTTTATTTTTATACCATCATAAAGTTAAAAGATCTTGTCAAACCAGTGTCTGCAACCATTTGTGTATCAATCTTTCATACCTATTAAAACTTTCTTTATAATTATGTGCCCAGAAGTTACATAAATGTTCCATGTTGTTTAGATAGTATGTTCCATATTTAAGGAGAATGTATGTTCCCTAATTTGAGTGGTATAGAGTTCCAGATTTATGGAGTAGATCAAGTTATACATTGTTATTTTAGTGATTACCCTTAAATTTTTAATATGCATCTTGTAGCCATCAGCTCAGTTTTTTTAGACCATGGTGCTAATAATATGCATTTCACTTAAAGCTTAAAGCTAATTGTTATCTATTCTCCTCCTGGTGTACTGACCTAAAAGTAGAAATTTAAAACTGTCTAACAATGACCACTTTCCTTGCCCACTTATATTTATCCTTATCTAGTATTTTAGCTCAACCTTGGTTTTAACCCCCTATAAATCAGTCAAAATTATTTTTGCTTTATGCAGTCAATGTAGGTTTAGTTTACCTACTGACTTCTTTGTCCACCATGACTACTTGTATCCTACTTTCAAGTCACATTTCTTTCCTACTGTATATTCCTTAGTAAAACAGTTCTTATAGCAAATTATCTGTATTTTTGTCTGAAAACACTTTTAACTTGTCCTTACTCTTGAATAACTTCATTTGAGTACAAAATATATACCTCTCTCAACACTTCAAAGATATTATTCAATTTTATTTTCTGGACTCTTGTTGATTAAGAGATATCTGTTCAGGGGCCAGGGATTTAGCTCAGTGGTTCTGTTACTTGCGTCTTAAGTACAAGGTCCCGAGTTTAATTCTCGGTACCCCCCCCCCCAAAAAAAGATATCTGTTCAGTCTGATGTTGCTCTTTTTTTGTTGCTTGCAATTTTAGTCTCTTTGGTGACTATACTTAGTTGTGGGATTTTTTATTTTTAAATTCTTAAAAATAGCCTTATGCATCTTACTTACCCTAAGAAGTGTTTTGCTTGCTTGAGATAGGGTCTCCCTCTGTAGTCAGGCTAGTCTAGAATTTCCTATATATCCCAGACTTGCCTTGAACTAGATCCTCCTGCCTCAGCTTTCCAAGGCATGTACCACCACACCCAGCTTCAGAAAGATTCTCAAGTTATCACTTCTTCAAATTGCGCATCTCCCTCATTTTACCTTTTTTCTTGGAATTAATATTACATGTTGAAAATTCTTGATCAGCCCTTTTCATTTCACTTCTCTTCGTATTTTTCTTAACTTACTGTTTTGTACTCAGGAATTTCCTTTTACCTCCTACTAATCTTCATCTGTGTAAATTATTGTTTCTTATTTACTGAGCTTCTCAACCTGACTATATTTTTCATTATATTGTTTTTTCAAATGTGCCTATTTCATAATATCTTATTCATTTATTGGCATATCTATATCTTCTTTTAACATTTTTGTCAATTTAAATGTTAAATTTAAATTATTTTTGAAACTGCTCTCTATCATCCCAGTTCTTGGAGCTACAGTCCTCCTGCTCATTATATCTGCTCTCATTTGGTATAAAAAATTATCCATTTGTATTATGTCATTTTTAATTATAACTTCATCTTCAGTTGGGTTTATTTCTTCTGTTAAGAATCCTCCGTGGTCTGAGGTATGGGAGAATCCTTCAGAGTCTTTTTTTTTCTTTCTCCAGGTGACTCAAGCACATTGCTAGTTTAGAGCCAGATGTTGATTTCTCAACATGGGAATACCTGAATCAAATAACATAAACTCACCTCAAATATCAGCAAGGCATTGAAGCTTGTGCTTCAATTTCTCAGCAGAAAGAGAAAATTTTTTCATTTCCTCTTTGCATAGAGCCCAGGCAAATCAATACAATTTCTTATTATCTCTGTCAGGGGAAAGATTTTTTTTTCCTAGCCCACCCTTTCACTGAAATACAGCTCACCAAGAATCACAGCTTGTACGGGTGTGTAGCTCAGTCATAGCGTTTACCTAGCACTGGTGAGGTCCTGAGTACAATCCCAGTACCGTGGGGTAGAGGGGAGCTCAATTCAGAGGTTGACCACTTGTCTAGCATGTGCAATGCCTTGGATTTGATCTCCAGCTCCACAAGGGGGGAAGAAATCTCAGCTTTATGTAGAAGTCCTAGTTCTCTTCTGCACAAGGCTAAAAATCAATCTCCTAGGAAGCAAAAACCAGAGCTTTACCTCTTACTCAGAATACCCACACTACCATTCAAGGCATTACAGCACAGTTTCAAAGGCTCAGTTTTGTGTTTGATTTCATTTTTGTTTCTACAACCTGGAGATTACTTTGTGTTTCCTGCAAGCTCAGAAATGCATTTAAAAGAACTATTCTACATTAGCCAGCTTTTTCTGGATAACAGAAGGGTTTCTTGTTTATTTTATTTAGGCATCTTGCAAAGCAAATATGGCTCTCCAATCCATTGGTTGCATGACCCCATAGGAGTGATCTCTCAATAGCGCAAAAATAAACTCTTTGAAACTCTTCAGTGGATCCTCACTCTGGAATGACATTTGAAGTCCACTATTACCTAGAAACTGCCTATTTTTGTAATTCATCCTTCCACTCCCCCATGTACGTTGTACTCTAACCACTCCTAATATCCCACTCTAAAGCTCTCCTTGTTGTTTTCTGCTCCTATCCCTTTAAGTGTACTGATTTCCCTCACTCACATTTGCCCTGCCCTCAGCCACCTACTGAATAGTCATAGTTGGACAGTCAAGGTGAAATGTCAGTCTTTCCATCAAAGCTATTCCTAACCTATCCAAGCTGGGATCTCTCCTTTGTGAAAATAACATTTATTGAGTCCTTTATATGCCAAGCATTGTGACAACTGATTTATTATTAATAATAACCATACAATTTTCTTACTATCACTATCCCTATTTTCTTTTTTTTTTTTTTTTTTTTTGGTACCGGGGATCGAACTCAGGTCCTTGTGCTTGCAAGGCAGGTGGCGGAACCACTGAGCTAAATCCCCAGCCCGCTATTTTCTAAATTAGGAAATTAAGATACAGAAAGGTTAAGCAATGTGCCCAAGAACATGCAGCTAATACATAGCGGAAGTGGAACCTGAACCCAAGTGGTCTGTCTCTACAACCCTATTAACCTTATATGGCCTCCTACAATTATATCTTGCATTATAGCTATCACTGCACTTATACCACATTTCAGTTACATGTTTATGTACCAAACTTCTCAACTAGTTTAAGAGACTGAGTAATGGTTTCAACTCTATTTGTAGCTCCTATGCTAACTAAGCACAGAGAAAGCCCTCAAATAGTTTTTCTGACCAAAGATAGCATCCCCAGTCCCTCTTCATCTCTTACCTGATCTACTAGAATAGTCCCCAAAATAGACACCCTCTCTTGAATTTATTTTTTCAGTTTCTACTCACTTCTTTCATCCTCCAGCCAATATATCTTTATAAAGGCCATAATGATGGTATCATTCCACTGTTTAAAAATCTTTAAGGGTACAAAATTTTTTGTTTTTGTTTTGCTTTTTTTTGTAGTAACAGGGACTGAAACTAGAGCCTTCTTAGTGAACTACATGCTCAGTCCTTCTTTTATTTCTTGAGACAGGGTCTTACTAAGTTGCCCAGTTGGGCTCAAACTTGCGATTCTCCTGCCTTAGCCTCTCAGACTGTTGGCATTACAGGTGTGAACTCGCACACCCAGCTATGTATAAAATTCTTTTGGCATGACATAGAATGCCCTGACCATCTGACTGTTGTAGTCTCTTTTCTTCTCTACTCCAGTCCTGCACTCCACCTGTATTTAGCTTTTTGCCTGTCAATGAATATGCCTTCATACCTTTGGATATGCAGCCTTCTTTGCTTGGAATGGCCATCCTTCCTCACTCACCTGGTGAAGTCCTATTCTTTCTTCAACATACAGCTCAGATATCTTCCTCAGGTTTCCTCCAGACTGTCAGCCCATTCCTACACTCCATTGGTATTATGCATTTACCTCATTTAGCATTTGGTATTGTTATCTGACTGTGTGATTTCCCTAACTAGACTGTGGAGTCTTAAAGAACAGAGACTAAGTCTCATTAATCTTTTGTGTAGAGTGTGCCTAAAAAGTGTTCATTGAATTAGTAGAATAAAATTTTAACTAACAGATCCTATACTCAAGCAAACTTAAATACAAATAAATTTAAGGTAGGTAACTCATCCAAGATTAACTAAAAGTTAGGGAGTAAAAGTATGAGTGAAAAAAATCCTAAATTTCTGTTATTCAACCCTGAATTCTATAGACTGGAGCAATTTCTTCAGTGGTAATTAATTTAATTGGTAAAATACACAGTGAGGTAATCTCAACATGAGCAGTGAAAAACATATAAGCAAGCACAAGGCACATATTTCCTGCACTAGTATAATAAGGATACTGGCAAATTCTTGAATGTTATCATTAAGGATAAAGAGATAAGTCATTTTATAAATCCTGAAACAAACCCTTACAAACCAGGGAAATTCCCATCTTTTTACATATAATCACATGATTTCATTATTCATTAGTTCTAAATGCATTAAGGCTACATGCATTGCAAAAACATTGTCTGCCAATTGTGTAATAAACCCAACACTATTTGTTTTTCATTGAAAGGGGACATTTTTAAAGTGTATGTTAATCCTAAATTAACAAGGAGACTGGGATAGGATAAAAAGAAAGGAGAAAGTAGGCATTATCCAATTTTTTTCTATTCAATTTTTGAAATGTTTTTAACTTAAAAAAAAAAACCCTTACACTGTCAATTTAAAAGGTACATCAGCCTCAGTCTAGCTTTTTTCTTCAATCATTACCTATGTATGGTAAAAGAAAAAGAAATGTCCCAAAAAGTCAAAAGATCTTGTTTTCATGTTCAAAAGCAGTATAATGTAGAATCATCTTTGATACCAAAATAATTCTTGGGGCTGGGGATTTAGCTCAGTGGTTCCATCGCCTGCCCTGGAAGTGCAAGGACCCAAGTTCGATCCCTGGTACCAAAACAAAACAAAAAAAAAGAATTCTTAAAATTCATTAATCATTTTCAATGAGACTAAAGTGTAGCTATAATATACAGTTCTAAACTACCAATGTATGGCTATGTGGTAAATATTTATTTTTAATCAATAGATCAGGACTGTCTCTAAATTCAGAATATAAGTTTCATAAGAGAATATTTAATATTTCATTCACTAATGTTTCTGAAAAACCTAGAACAGTACCTGGCACAGAGTAGGCACTCATAAAATAGCTCAAGATGGTCAAAATATTTATTATGTCAATATATACAATGAGCTGCAGATCCTCAACAAACAAGTTGAAGTCTGAGTTCATCCTGACGTGATCACTGATACAGCCTTCCTACACAGAGTTTAGCCAATCAACAAAAACAACTCATACAATATCCAAAGGCAAATTGATAATGCGCAAATAAAACATTTACACAGGGGTCATAAGGTCTTGAAATCTAAAAACTTGCCAAGAAGTTAGAAAAAAAAAAATGTTAGCAGCACAACCAAAATTTTCAACAAGCACATACTCTAGCACTTTTTTCATAGGCAATCCACTTCCAAAAGATATACTGGGGTTTACAAAAAAGTTTTAATAAATTAAGCCAACTGCAGTGGTATAGGCGTGTAGTTCTGGCTATTCAGAAGGCTGAGGAGAGAGGATCTCTTGAGGTCAGGAATTTGAGAGCAGCCTGAGCAACACAGTGAGACTCAAACTCAAAAAAAAATTTTTTTTCACTTAAACACCAGTACATTTACTAAAAAATTTCATTTCCAGTATTACAAAAAAAACCTAAGCAAATATTCCTAAAATTGCTATTCTTATTTTGCTGTTTACTACTTATAAAAGCAAAACGTAAATAATTATGAAATTAGTATTCTTAGTTTTCTCTATTAAATGCCATCATGAGCATTTCACCATGAATTAGGCTGTATTCCCCACCACCACCACCCGTTTTCAAAGGGGTTACTTTTTCAGCCCTTATTACTAAGTTACGGAGACCTGTAAAAGTAACTACGCTTCTGGGTCTCAGTTTTCTCTTCTGTAGAATGAAAAACCTGGATTAAAGCAACAGTTAAACCTTATTTTTCTGTAACCCTTTGAAAGTCTGTTGAAAGGTACAAGTGACCTCTCCATAAAAAGACACTTACACATACCTGCAAAAAACAAGAATCAACCTAAATGTCCACCAATAGATGGTTAAGTAAACTATATCTATTCAATGAAATTCCATACAACTGCAAGCTGAAGGCATTTTCTATGTACTAATATGGAAACATTTCATCATGTGTTAAGCAAAAAAAAGCAAATTACAGAAAAATGTGTGTAATATACAACCTTTTGCATAAAATACTAGTACTAGTAGGGAGACCAAAGAAATATTGTCTTGTATTTTGACCATAATTTTGGAATCTGAAGCAAATTAATGGAGCAGGAATCAAATGGAACTGTGTTTTCATTGTTTGGCAAGTTACTTAATCTCTCTTGGCCTAAATTTCATCTGTAAAATGGAAATAAAAGTACACACCTATTTCACAAGTACACTGTGATGCTTAAAAGAGGTAACAAGTAAGTCATGTTGGTGCACATCTGTATTCCTCGCACTCTGGGAGGCTGAGACAGAAGGATGGCAAGTTTGAGCCCAGACTGAACAACTTAGCAAGACCTTGTCTCAAAATGAAAATGGGCTGGACCACATAAGGAATGCAAAAACTATGTACTGTAAACACGTACTAATAAAAAATTAATTAATTAATTTTAAAAGAGGGGACTGGGTTGTAGCTGAGTGGGAAGGCCCTGGGTTCAATCCTCAGTACTGCAAAAACAAACAAAACTCCCACCCCCTAAAAAAGAGTAACAAGGCTCATAGAAAGAAGCAGGTCCCTGCATCCCTAGAAATAAAGTAAGGTATCTTAGAACAGTTGTCTTTGATGGCTTGAACCAAAGCAGACTGCATTCTGGGACCTGTAGTTTCTAGGGACTACGTTTTTATATACAAGCATTGCCTCTTTGTCCCCATTGAAAATAACATATGACAGCATTCCTAACACAAAAGAAGCAAATATCTGGCCTTTTTTGATTTATGTTTCCTGAAAATCTCCTAAGTTCGCATTTTTAAAAATTAAACAGAGCGGGCGGGGGATTTAGCTCAGTGGTTTCGCCGCCTGCTACACAAGCACAAGGACCCAGGTTCGATCCCCCGTACCAAAAAAATAAAAATAAAATAAGCAGGGCTGTAGATGTATTGGCTGGCTGTATCCCAAAGAGTCCTAAGTTGTAACCGTCTAAGTTTGTTTTTTAAACAGGTTACTTTGTATCTCAAAGCTCAACCCATGGAGTAGTAGGCTGGTGATGGTAAGAAAGGCAAAGAAGTCCAGGCAAGAGACCTACCTAACAGACTTATAAATTGCCAGGATGACAGTAGGAAAACTACATGGCTCTAAAGATAGAAGAGGCCCCCACCAACCAATCTTAGTTCCCAAAACTTTTAAATCCTATCCAAGCTTTTTGGTGGGGCATTACTTGTGCTTATTCTTAATATTACCATAAATATAAGTACCTGTCATTTATCGCTTCCTCACTATGAACCAAACTCTTGTGCTAAGCACGGACTTTTCAAGATTTTATGAAAAGAACTGCACATGTAAGGTCATTCTCCAACCCACTCTACTCTTAAGTCTGAAAGGCTCCTTTCACATCCTCAAATCAACGCGTCCCCTAAACTCTGGACACTCCACAGCTCACCCTCGCTGGCCCACTCAAGCCCCGGAGCCATATCCCTCCAAGCAACACGACCCCAAGCTCTCGGCCCAACTCCAAACCGAGCATTTCCCGGATCTTCCAGGGCCCCTCCCCCTACACACACCAATTCCAACCTGCCCCTAACTTGTTCCAAGAACTGTTTCCCTCCAAACTTCTGACTTGCGTAAGGCGAGGGTCCCTCTCGGCCCTTCTAAATCCAACGTGACTGTAGTTCATTCCAAAGTTCAAAATTCAGAAACACATACTGCACCTGGGCAAAGCCCGGTTCCAACCCCAAGAGAACACCCTACACCCGCTAGAGCAGGGCCCGGGACTCTCCACCCCATGGCCAGGCCGGGGGCTGCGGGGCCTGGTTGTGGACCCCACGCAGGGAAGGAAGCTCCACCTGGCTCCGTGGGCGCGGCGCGCGCCTCCTGCTCCGGCCTGGGCCCCGCGGCGGCCGCGCCCCCGTTCCGGCGCGGGCGGCAGCGCTC